ACTAATCTTGCCCAGCCTGCTTAGGTGGGTCAGTAGTCAATAACATCTTTGCAAAAAGGCCTGGACTACTGTGCATGGGTGGAGCAGAGAGAGGAAGGAACTAATGTAAAATGTACTAGATCACCCTGACCGGGTTGGCTCAGTGGATAGAGCGTGGGCCTGCAGACTGAAGGGTCCCAGTTTGATTCCGGTCAGGGGCATGTACCTTGGTTGCAGGCACATCCCCAGTAGAGGGTATACAGGGGCAGCTGGTCGATGTTTCTCTCTCATCGATGTTTCTAACTCTCTATCCCTCTCCCATCCTCTCTGCAAAAAATCAATAAAATATATTAAAAAAATAGTTTGTCTCTGAAATAAAAATGTGAAAATATGATGGAATAACATTAAAAAAAAAGTACTAGATGGTACTGGCCTGGTGGCTCAGTAGGTTGGAGGGTCATCCCCTGCATCAAAAGGTTACCTGCTGGGTTCCCAGTCGGGGCACAGGCCCAGGTTGCAGGTTTGAGCCCCTGTAGGTGGTGTGCAGGAGGCAGCAGATTGATGCTGCTCACATCTCTCTCTCTCTCCCTCTCTCTCTCTCTCCATCTCCATCTCTCTCTCTCCATCTCTGTCTCTATCTCTATTGCTATCTCTATCTCCATCTCTCTTCCTCTCTCTCTATCTCTATCTCCACCTCCATCTCCATCTCTCTCTCAAGCCACCACTTAATCAAGACACAGCTTGTCACAGAGGCTGGCCCAGCACATTCTTCAGTGGCGGCTCGGGTGCCTCTGAAACTAGCACAGAGCCTGTCTCGTACCATCTGACGATGGGTTCGGGCCCTGCTCTGCCATCTGCAGATTCAAACTCTACAATCGGTGGCAAGTGCAGCCTGCCTGGTCTTCTCTGGAGCCCGCTGAGGCGTCCACGCTAAGGGAGCAGTTATAGTCGGAGCGTCCACACGGGCAAGGCAGCGGCTCTGTCTCCATCCTCAAGAGCAGTTCAGCCAACAGGAAGCTGCACCCCCTGCCTGCACGAAGCGCTAACTGGCACCCACAGTGTTTGTGACCAAATTCCATGCAATTTAAAGAAAACTTTCAAGGTTATATTAGGATGATAACGCATGTTAACGTTTATAGTAAGAGGGATAAAGGATATTTGAATGCAGTCAGGTGTGGAGTGTTTTGAATCTGATGAAATCAAGAGCCTTGTCTTCCCTGGGAGCCGGGGGAGGTGGTGAGCCCCCCTGGGGAATGCGGGAGGTGGTGAGCCCCCCTGGGGGACGGGGGAGGTGGTGAACCCTTAGTAAAAGGTTCACCTTTGCCTTAAGTAAGCCCTGTCCATGGTTCTTGTGTGTCTAGGTGAACACACCTGGGACAGACCAAAGTAGTAATCTTTGTCTCAGAGACGCAACTGCCCTCATGAGCCAACATTCATTTTATCTTGTGCATATACCAGCTCTATTTACTGTAAATGTTAAATGTAACCATTTTGTACCTACCAATGTAAAACAAGTGTGCCTCTTAATTTTGCTTTTCATCCAATCCCTTTCTCCTGCTTTGTTACTCTACCGCCATGAGGAAGCAAGCACAGAGAGGTTAGATGACGGCCCCTGGTCACACAGCGGGTCCTTGGAGCACCGGGAGCTCCCAATGCATGTCAGCTAAGCCCCTTCGCCAGGTGTGGAGCGGGTGGGGAAAACGCAGAGACCAAGGAGAGGGTGGGTCGCATGGGTGGGGATTCCAGGCCTAGTTCTCTGGGCTTGGGGCGCCCTGGGACAGGACCTGGATTTGGACTTACTGGAACAGAGGCAGGCGCTGGGGCCCGAGTGGGCCACGAGGGGGCAGCAGGGACCAGGGAGCTGGCCTCCAGCCAAGCCCGCCTCTCCCGGGCCAGCTGCCTGCAGACGCGGTGGGAAAGGGCGGGGTTCCGAGGGAGCCTGGCAGGTCCTGTGCCGTCAGGTGCCTCGGCCCGTTCATCACAAGAGCACGAGCCCCGCCCGGACTCCGCCCCTCGTGGCCTCTGTCCTCGCCCCCCACTGTGGCTGCAGGACTTCTCTGCGTGTGATGGGGAGAAACTGAGGTCAGAGTGGTCACCCACCTGCCCATGGCCACACCGCTCCGCGGGCAAAGGCAGGTTCAAACGGAGGCGGGACGAGGCAGAGCCTTGCTTCTCTGAGTCTCAGTGTCTGTTCTCA